GGTCCATGAAGGGCTGGGAGAACTGTGCAGTTTTGACAGGTTAGTGAACATCTCTGAGCTTCATTGTCCTTCATTAGTAAACGGAGATAATACCAACTCCTAGGACTGTTGGAAGTGTAACAGGGAAGAGCAAACCTGACTGCATATTACTTCTGTTTCTTTGTCTCTAACCCTGTGCACTGCTGCCTCCGTTAGTCATGCTGGTTCTGCACCTTTTGTAAAAGAATGTGGCCTAGAGCCTGAAATAGACAGAATAGCCCATTCTCAAGGCTCTGACCTTTGATTATACCTCAACAGTTTTCCATTCATATAGAGATTAAAAAGTTGCAGAACAGAGAATAACATGTGTCTTGTTTGAGGTTTACAGAAACATCATGGCCTGACCTACATGGACAGCTGCAAGAACAAAGGATTCCAACACCAAGAAGTTTGCAACAACCAAGTAGACTCCATCCTCTTTTTAGTATAAAAGGAGCCTCAAATCTGACTTGGGGAAGATGGTTCTCTAGGACATTAGTCCCCCATCTTCTGCATCTGCTGGCTTTCAAAATAAAGTCTTTATTCCCTGCCCCAACATCTCATCTCTGGATTTACTGGTCTATCGTGCAGTGAACAGAATGAGTTTGGACTTGGTAACAGAAGGGTTCAGTGAAATAAAATAATACTTTAATAAATGGTATCTTTTATTGATAGGCAAAATAATGAAATGAGCATAATTTTTAGAACATTTTGTCTAACAAAGAGAAAATGTTTTAATAGTAATCATTGAACATAATCAGGGTATTGAAATTCAGATGATTGATTTTTTTAAGCTGAAAGCAGCATCACCTCTCTGCCTATTCTAGGGCCATTTAAAAGTTGCTGGATAAGCTACATTACTCTTATTTAATCTTTGCAGTTCCAAATTCAAAAAATGAATACCTTGCTCATACCACATAGCCAGATCACATTGCAAGTGTGTTAGTCAGGGTTTTCCAGAGAAACAGAACCAACTGGAAATGTATAGATATGTAAATATATATGGGTGTAAAGAGATTTATTAATATAAGGTGTTGGTTTGAGTTATTTTGGAGGCTGAGAAGTCCCAGGATCTGCTCTCTGCTAGCTGGAGACCCAGGGAAGCTGGTGGAGTATTTTGAAGATCTGAAAACCCAAGAGTCAATGGTATAGATTCCAGTCCAAGTCTGAAGCCTCAGAAACAAGACCTGCAAGGATCCAGAAGACTGATGTCCCAGCTCATGCAGTCAGGTGGAGGGGAATTCAACCTTCCTCTGCCTTTTTACTCCTCTCAGGTCCTCAACAGGTTGGAGGATGTCCACCCACATCGGAGAGGGCCACCTGCTTTACTCAGTCTGCTGATCAAATGCTAATCTCTTCCAGAAACACCTTCACACAAATGCACCCAGCAATCAGGTTTGGCCAGGGAGCTGGTCACGCCTTAGCCCAGTCAGTTGGCACACAAAGCTAACCGTCACATCGGGTGTCTTGATCCCTAGTCAGTGATCCTTCCGTTATAAAGGTAGCTTTCACTCCTCCTCTTTTTTATTCTCTTAATTTTTCTCAACAGCAGAACAATTTTTTTTCAAATGAATACTTACGTGGAATCAGAAAAAGTGGGACTGTATCTTTAGCCCTCCACCAACCCTCCCAGACCCCACACCATTTAGATACCTTTTTGAGGGATCCTACGGCTTTCTGGAATCCAGATTGAAAACCATTCTGTTCCACAGTAATGCACTGTTTCGACAGCCTATTTGGGAAGGGGAATTAAAGAATTAAAATATTCTTATGCCTGTTTGAAAGTAATAAATCTATTTGGACATTATACTAAATTTAGCAAGGCTTCTTCTATTATGAATTATTAAAGGAATGTCAGATTCATGTATCAAACTTACTAAAAGCCTTTTTCTTCATGGAGCTTACATGATAAAATATGATAAAATGTGACAAAAATCTAATTTAGAAATAAGTACATTTTTTTTGTGTGGCTTTCTAGCACCTATATCTTTTATGCCATATTTTATTCCTGAAAAATGCCAATTAGAACATAGCAATATGAGAATATGTGTATATATGTGTGTAAAAATCTTGCTTTTATGCATATATAAAAGCAGCAAGCAAGAAAGAAAAAAGGGTGCCCAGGGCAGTTAGGCTAGTACTGAGCATTTTACATTTATTTTGTCACTTATAAGTTAAATATACCTGGACCTCAAATGCCCACAGCTAAGAATGAGGCCACATTCATGTTAATATTGAATCTTGTTTACTGTTTCTTACTTGCTCAGCACAGATGTCCCAGTCTCTTGAAGGCCTACACTCATGTATTGCTGGATGTACAGTAGGTACCACGTGTTCACGAACCCACCTGAGTGATCGCTTACTCGTCACTGGCTTCTGCCCCAGACCCTCACCGGCATTGCCTCACCTCTGCACTCCCCTCGACAGCCTCTGCTGCCAGTTCACCTTTTGGTGAAAAGAATCCTTCTCAACTGAATTGCCTTTGAACATTTGTCAACCATGTGTGGTCCATAAATGTGTGGATCTGTTTCTAGACTCTCCGTTTCATTCCATTGTTCCACTTGCCAACCTTTGTGCCAATACTGCTGTGTCTTGAGGACTGAAGCTGTATAAGCCAACTTAAAAATCAGATAATTTCAGTCCTCCAAATTTGTTCCTCTTTTTTGAAAGTTGTTTGGTCCTTTCTCGACCCTTCACATTTCCATATAAACTTTAGAGCCAGTTTTTCAATTTCTACAAAAACGACAACAGCTACAACAAAGCACCCTTCTGGCATTTTGATTGGGATTGAATTGAATCTATTAACTGATTTTAGATACTTGCCACCTTGACTACACTGAGTCTTTGGACCCATGATACATTACATTTCTTTATTTATTTGGCTCTTGAATTTCTTCAATTATGATTTGCCATCTTTAGTGTATAAGTCTTGGGCATCTTTTATCAAATTTATCCCCAGATATTAAGTATTTTTGATGCCATTATAAGTGGTATTTTTTTATTTCAATTTGAGATTGTACATTGCTAGTATATAAAAATAAAATTGATTTCTTACAAAATTGATCTTGTATCCTGTAACCTTGCGGAAAGCACTTATTTGTCCTATTAATGTTTTTGTAGATTCCATCTATCAGTTTTTGCTTCATGTATTTTAAAGCTCTGTTATTAAATGCAGAAACATCTATTTCCTTCTGATCAATTGACTGTTTATCATTATGAAATGATCATCATTATCATGGTAATATCTGTTGCTCTGAAGCCTAGCTTTTATCGTACTAATATACCCAATCCAGCTCTCTTTTGGATTAGTGTTTGTATGACATATGTTTTCCATATTTTTATTTTTAACCGATTTATGTCTTCATTTTTAAAGCATTTTTTGTAGGCAGCATTGGCTGAGTTTTGGTTTGTAATCCAATCGGACAGTCTCTGATTTAACTGAAGTATTGAAATAATCTACATCAAATATAATTACTAATATGGTAGAGTTAAATCTATCTTACCATTTGTTTTATATTTGTTCTGTCTGTTCCTTGTTCTAGTTTTCTCTTTTTCTGTCTCTTTTAAAATTAATTGGATATTGGGGAGAGGGTATAGCTTAAGTGGTAGAGCGCATGCTTAGCATGCATGAGGTCCTGGGTTCAATGCCCAGTACCTCCTCTAAGAATAAAACCTAATTACCTGACCCCCACCAAAAAAATAATAAATAAATAAAATAAATTGGATATTTAAGATGATTCATTGCCTCTTCTTTGTTGTCTTTCGAGTTCTCTCTGGCTATGTGAGTGGTGGTTAAAGGGTTTACAGGACACATCTGTAATGTATTGTAGTCTCCTCTCAAGTTAAATTATACCACTTACTACAGTGCAATGTATACTATACTTACAACAGTATATTGCCACTTCCCCCATTCCTGCTTTTGTGTTATCATTGTGATCATTTTACATTTGAATATGCTATAAATTCCATACTACATTGCTATCATTTTTGTTTAAATAGTCAATCAGTATTTAGAGAGTTTTTTTAAATAAGAAAAAAATTATCATATCCTTACCTATGTTGTTACCAGTATTCCTGTTTCTTTGTGTGAATTCATAGTCCCATCTGGTAGCCGCTCTCTTCTGCCTGAAGGATTTTCTTTATTATTTCCTGTAGTCTTGATAGATCTGCTGGTGATGAATTCTTTCCGCATGTTTTACATCTTTGAAAGTTTCTGTGTCACTTTTGTTTTGAAAGATACTTTCACTAGTTATAGAATTTTGGGTTAATGGGTATTTTTCCCTTTAATATTTGAAATTGTTGTTCCACTGTTGTTCTTACTTGCATGGATTACAAAAAGAAATCTACTATTATCTTTAGCTTTATTCCCTCATGTTATGTGTCTCTTCTCTGATTGATTTAGTATTTTCTTTCAGCACTAGTTTTGGCAATTTGATGATGATATCTGCCTTCATATAATTGTCTTTTTTTTTTTTGGTGCTTGGGTCTTATTGAATTTCTTGACTATGTGGATTTATAGTTTTCACCAAATTTGGAAAACTTGGGCCATTATTTCTTCAATTACTTTTTCATTTGTCCTCCTTGAAAGAACTCCTTGATACCTACTAAGTCACTTAATATTTCCCTCCAAGTCATCAATACTCTGTTTTTCTTTGATTCTCTTTTCTTTGTGTGTTTCTCCTTGGATAATTTCTATTGCTTTGACTTCAAGTTTACTAAACTCTTTCTGCAATGTGTAACTTATCATTATTTCCATCCAGTGTACTTTTCACCTCATACTTTCATTTTCATCTCTAGAAATTCAATTTGGACCATTTTTATATTTTCCATGTGTTCATTTAGCTTTTTGAACATATGAAAAACAACCATAATAATTGTTTAATATCCTCCTCTGTCAATTCTATTGTCCATGTCGGTTTTTGATCAGTTTCAATTAACTATTCACCTTATTATAAATGATAATTTCCACCTCTTTGCACACACTGTAAATTTTTTTATTGGATGCCCAACATTGTGGGTTTTACCTTTTTGAGTAGTGAATAGTTTTGTATTACTACAGATATTCTTGGCTTTTGTTCCAGGATGCAGTAAAGTTACCTACAAGCAATTTGACCAATTCAAGTTTTACTTTCAAGATTCCTTTAGGTTATCTAAATTGGAAGAAAAAGTAAAAATTGTCACAATTTGCAGATGACATGATATTAAATACAGAAAACCTTAAAGACTTCATTAAAAAACTGTTAGAACTAATAAACGAATTCAATAAAGTTGCAAGATACAAAGTAAATGCACAAAAATCCATTGTATTTTTATACATTAGTAACAATCAGAAAGAGAAATTAAGAAAACAATTCCATTTACAATTTTATCAAAAACAATAAAGTATTGTGTAATATATTTAACCAAGGAGGTGAAAGACCCATACGCTAAAAGCTGTAAGACACTGATGAAACAAATTGAAGAAGACTCAAACAAATGGAAAGATATTTCACACTCATGGATTGGAAGAATTAATACTGTTAAAATTTTCATATCACCCAAAGTGGTATGCAGATTCAATGAAGTCTTTATCAAGAGTTCAATGGCATTTTTCACACATATAGAACAAACCTAAAATTTGCATGGAACCACAAAAGATCCTGAACTGTCAAAGGAATCTTAAGAAAGAAGAACTCAGTGGAAGTCATCACATTCCCTGATTTCTATCTGTATTACAAAGCTAGACTAATTAAAGCAGTATGATGATGTTGGCATAAAAACAGACACATGGATCAATGGATCAAAGAGAGATGAGAAATAAAACCATGTACACATGGTCAATTAATTTACAACAAAAGAGCCAAGAATACACAATGGAGAAAGGACAGTCTTTTCAATAAATGGTGTTGGAAAAATCGGACAGCTGCATGCAAAAAAATGAAATTGGACCACTATCTTACATGATACACAAAAATTGACTCAAAATGGAATAAGACTTGAATGTAAGACCTGAAACAATGAAACATCGAGAAGAAGACATAGTTGGTAAGCCCCTTGACATAGGTCTGGGTGATGATTTTTTTTTTTAATCTGATACCAAAAACAAAAGCAAGAAAAGCAAAAATAAACAACTGGGACTACATCAAACTAAAAGACTCTGCACCACAAAGGGAACCATCAACAAAATGAAAAGGCAACCTGTTGAAAGGGAGAAAATATTTGTAAATTATGTATGTGATAAGCAGCTAATATCCAAAATATATAAAGAACTCATACAACTCAATAGCAATAATAATAAAAATCATAATCATAAAAGGGTAGAAGACCTGAATAGATTTTTTTTTCCAAAGAAGACATAGAGATGGCCAAAGATAAATGAAAAGACGCTTAGCATCATTAATCATCAGGAAAATGCAAATCAAAACTGCAGTGAGGCAGGACCTCACACCAGTTACAACGGCTGCTATCAAAAAGAAGAAAAATAATAAACGTTACTTGAAAGCCTTTCAGGAAGTTCCCTTCTGGGCCTGAAGTAGTTGATCCCTTGCTTACACTAATCAGGACTTCCTAAATACTCAAGGGGCCCGTTCTGCACCTCCTCGCTGTTCTTTCTCAGCACAGGCCACTCTTGCTCAGTATTCTGTCTAGAAGATCCTAGGGAACTTCTCCTAGACTCTCAGCATTGTCCCTGAACCCAGGAATTTCACAGGGTTCTGCTCCCTGCACTGCACCTTCCCAAGAACATCCCATGAAACCCTCCCAAGGCCTTTATATGGGGCAATTATATGGCTTCCCATATTCACCTGCTCTCTTTCTCTCTCTCTCTCTTTCTCAGATCATTGTGCTTCATTACTTTATGTCCAATGCTTTGGAAACCATTCTTTCATATATTTTGTATATATTTTTTGTTTGTTTGGGGCCAGAGGGTAAGTCCAGTCCCTATTATATTATCTTGGTGAAAAGTCTAACTTACTCCTGATTTTTTTTCAAATGGAAATATGGCTCCTTTAGATATTCTGGAGTAAGAAAAAATGCCAAATAAAAGGCAGACCTGAATAAGGTGCCACTTTGGAGAATCCAAGGGCAATACGAGGACACAGAGAGCAGGTGAGACTAGGAGAGAGTATGTTGTGACTGATTCAGGATTCACCAAATACAAAGGTATTTCCTTTTATATATTTTTTTCAGTGTAGACAATTTTTTACTGGCAGATGTTAAGAATGCAAAATGGTAACAAATCCAGAGGGATGTCCCCTTTTAAATCATCCCATTCCACAGCACCAACAGCCTCACATGGTCACAGTATGAGTTATACAAGGCTACCTGCCTTAAAATGCATGAACCAACCTTTATTTAGAATTAATTTTTGATCCTTTGACCTTTTATAAATTCTTAGCTTCAAAATGTTGAAAGTCTTCAAAAGTTTAATCAAAATGGTGTCATTCCTTCTCATGGTCAGATTCTGCACACTGCCTTTTAATAGTATCTATGATTATTACACCTTTTAAAACTCTCATTAACTCTTTTATATTTCATATAAAGTATAAAGTGAGGCGACTAAAGAGTGACCATGCCCTGATCACATGCACTACAATTTTACATCTAAATAAATATTGACCTGCAACACCTAAACCATCAATTAAATTATTTTGGAATTGATCTCAGGAAAAAATAGATGGGCCCATCACAAAACCTGTCCAATTATTTCACCCTTTCTTTCCTGCTTTCGTCTTGCCTTCCACTCAGCTTTGTCCTAAACGTTGCCCTGAGAAGCATGACCTACAATAGAATCCAAGGAAGGGGCTTCTGGTGTTCACCACAAAGGGCTATGCCTGGCAGTGAAGTGGGGTAGTGAAGCCCACCAAGAAATAAGACGATTCAGATTTTCCGGTCAAGATGGCGGACTGGTAGGACCACGAACTTGCCTCTCCTCACAACTACAATGAAAATACAACTGAATGCTAAACAGCTGCCAAAAAAATACTGGAATCTGGCAAAAAAATATCTTCTGCAACTGAAAACAAAGAGGGAACCACAGCAGGATGGTAGGAGGGGTGTGCTTGCGATATAATAGGGCCCCAAACCCTTGGGTGGGTGACCCAGAAGCTGAAGATATGTTAAGTTGTAGGGGTCCTCCCACAGAGGTGAGAGCTCTAAGCCCCATGTCAGGCTCCCCAGCTCGGGTCCCAGCATTGGGAGGAGAAAGAGTCCCCAGGACATCAAGTTTTGAAGTCCAGCAGGGCTTGGTTCTGGGAGTCCCATGGGGCTGGGGGAAACAGAGACTTCATTCACTTGGGAAGTGCACATGGAAACTCACCGGCACCAGGTCCAAGGGCAGAGGCAGTGGTTTCATAGGAACTTAGGCCAAGTCTGCCTGATGGATTTAGAGGGTCTCTGGGGGATGCAGGGGACAGCTGCGGCTCAATGAGGGGACATAAAAGCTGGTGGTGGACATTCCAAGAGTGTTCATCAACATGAGCTTTCCTGGAGGTTGACATCTTGATTGAATCATTAGCACCAAGACCCAGCCCCACCCAATAGTCTGTAGGGAAGCCTCAGGACAAACAACATACAGGGTGGGAACACAACCTCACCAGTCAGCAGACTTCCTAAGCCACGAAGGCCTCTAAACATAGCTCTACCCACCAGGGGTAAAAGAACAAGCTTCACCCAGCAGTGAGCAGGCACTGGCTCCTCCTGCCAGGAAACCTGCACAAGCCTCTAGTCCAGCCTCATCCATCAGGGGCAAATGCTAGAAATAAGAAAACAACAATCCCAAAGCCTGTGGAAGGAATCCACATACACACAGAAAGAGACAACATGAGGCAGCAAAGGAATATCCCCCAGGCCAAGGGAAAAGATAAAACCCCAGAAGAAGAAATAAGTGATGAGGAGACAGGCAATTTATCTGAGAAAGAGTTTAAAGTAATGATGGCCTAGATGTTCAGAGAGCTCAAAAGGAGTATAGATGCACAGAGTGAAGTTTTTAGCAAAGAGTTGGAAAATACGAAGAATATCCAGAGTTGAAGAATAAAATCACTGAAATGAATAATACATTAAAAAGAACCAAGAATAGACTAAATGAGGCAGAAGAACAGATCGGTGAGCTAGAAGACAGATTAGTGGAAATCACTACTTCAGAACAGAAAAAAGAAATAAAGAATAAAAAGGTATGAGGATAGTTTAAGAGAACTCTGGGACAACATGAAGTGCACTAATATTTGCATTATGCATACATCAAAAACAACAACATACCCAGAAAGAGAAGAGAGAGAGAAAGGACCTGAGACAAGTTTTGGAGAGATAATAACAGAAAACTTCCCCAACTTGGGAAAGGAAACAGCCACCCAAGTCCAGGAAGTGCAGAGAGTACCACATAGAATCAACCCAAAGAGGAACACACCAAGGCACATAGTCATCAAATTGAAAAAATTAAGGATAAGGAGAAAATATGGAAATTAGCAAGAGGAAAGCAACAAATAACATACAAGGGAACTCCCTTATGGCTATCAGCTGATTTTTCAGCAGAAACTCTACAGGCCAGAAGTAAGGGGCACGAAATATTTAAAGTAATGAAAGGGGAAAACTTACAACCAAGAATATTCTATCCATCGAGGCTCTCATCCAAACTTGATGGAGAAATCAAAAGCTTCACAGATAAACAAAAGCTAAAAGATTTCAGCACCACCAAACTAGCTTTACAATAAATGGTAAAGGACCTTCTCTAGTCATCAAACCATAAGAAAAGAGAACAAAAAGAAGAAAGAGGGAAAAAAAAGAGAGACCTACAAAAGATTGCTTTGGCTGTTTGGGGTCTTTTGTGGTTCCCTGTGAATTTTGGAATTGTTTGTTCTAGCTCTGTGAGGAATGTCTTGGGTATTTTGACTGGGAGTGCATGGGATCTGTGGATTGCTTTGGGTAGTGTGTCCATTTTGATAGTGTTTCTTCCACTCCACGAGCACAAGAAATTTTTCCATTTCTTTGTGTCATTTCAGTTTTTGGAGTAAGGTAACCTCCTTGGTTAGGTTTATTTCTGGGTATGTTTTTGTTTTTGATGTAATGGAAATGTCTCAACCAGTTATAAAATTCTGGTTTTTGAACTGAAAAAAAAGTGAATGAAGGACCGCAAATGGCAAAATATGCTTCTTTCTTATGAGTGATCTCTATTCCATTACATATATATATATATATGCTGTATCTTCATTATCTACTCAACTATTGATGTGCACTTAGGATGCTTCCATGTCTTGGCAATTATAAATAACATTGCTGTTAATAGCACTGTGTATGTATCTTTTTGAATTAATTCTTATTTTGTGGTTGGCTTTATTCCTTTGATAGCTATGTAAGTTTAAAAAGCTAAAGTGCTTTCTCAGAAACAATGAACAGTACATATATGTAAATTTAAAAATATATGTGCAGTAAAAAAAGAGAAATAAATGAGCTATCAAGCCATGAAAGACATGGAAGAAACTTAAAAGACATATTACTAAATGAAAGAAGCCAGTCTGAAAAGGCTACGAACTGTACGATTCCAACCAAATGACATTCTGGAAAAGGCACAGCTACAGAAACAATGAAAAGATAGTGGTTTCCAGGGGGTTGGGGAGAGGGAGGGAGGGAGGGATGAACAGATGGAGCACAAGGGACTTTTAGGACAATGAAATTATTCTGTATGACACTATAGTGGTGGCTACATGTCATTATGCATTTGTCAAAACCCATAGAATGTACAAAATCAAGAGTGAACCCTAACGTAAACTATGGACTTTGGTTGAAAATAATGTGCCCATGTTGGTTCACTGATTGTACTAAATATGCCACACTGATGAGGGATGTTGAGAGTAGGG